ATTGAGGGGTTGCTATCTCATCGTGGTTGTTTGGGAAAACAGCATTGCCGATAGCGGCGAGTTCGTCCATGGCTTCGTCTACATGCATTCGAAGTCGACCAAGAAGAAGAGCTGAGAGGCTATAACGAAGAAATATGAGTTGAGGAAGTGATAAATAGATCGCTTAGGCTTACCCTCCAAATCCAACGCCCCCCATAAGATCAATGTGATCTGCTGGGTATACCTCCTCCACGTCGACACCCAAATCGAACGCCAACCGAGCCATGAACTCCTTCAGCATCAAAAGCTGGGAGATTGAACCGGGTCCACCGGCATCTGGAAACCAGGTTCTAAGTATACGATATCTCATTTCTTCCTGGGTCTGGACGCACCGAAGCTCAAGATCGAGATTCCCTTCCTGGATTCCTGTTGAGTGCTCATGTGTAGAACTGGGACATAGGCTTTTTCGAAACAAGTCTGATGGTGGTTGAGAGGAACATTCAAGCGCCTAGGCTGGTTGAGTGGAGGCCACGCGCTGTACCTCAAGTCGTCCCTTTACAGCAGTTGCTTTGACATCTTTTTGAACATATACCTGTGGACCCTTGTATAAACTCCAATATTGCTTCAATTAAACGCCATTGCAATGGTTAACGCTCCCCAGATCCTTGAGCAAGTCGGTTGGCAAGATAGAAAATATAGCGAGCTTCCATTGAGAGAGAAGAAAAGATATTCGGAGTGAAAAACTATCGAAAGCTCGGGGGGTACGTAGTCTTGTGACCTTATAATTGCATCCGCTTGTTCATTATAGTAGATTCTCCTAGAGACTGCTATTTTCTTGAAATTTGTCCAAGTCCAAAGTGCGTTGTTAACTATTTATAAACTTGAGGCCAATACAGTAGCAGCTCAGGTTCGGCTATTCGCAACCTGCTTCCTGCCACAAGCTGTTTGCGACTTTGTACTCCTAAGAAAAGTAGCAAATAAATGACCGTCAATAATGCAAAGTCTATAACCACTCTTGTCGTGTTTCTCATTGCTCGTACGTGCTACTTGACCCGGTCACTGCGTGGTGCTGATTTTCATCCTACACCCAAAACGTGCGATCACCCTGACATCATCCAGAAATTTTGGTCATTTTTCCAGTTCACATACCGATTCCAAGGCAATTTTTTCAACTTTTCAAGTTCAAGAACAAGTCAGAACACGATGAAAAGTCAGACACGAGGTCGAATCTTCGGTTTCCCCTCGATTTTCATACTGCCCCAGTCATTGCCGTTCTACTCCTGCTCGCCGCTGGGTGTATCCATGGCCCAGAAGTAAAAAGAGGAATTGTTGGTGCAGATGGCGTTGAACCGCTAAATGTCATGGCACTCTTTATTTCCCTCGTAAGTGGCGAGTACTGCCCAATCGGCGAAACCTCTGACCTTGGCATTTTCTAGGCCTACATGGCAATATCAGTAGACAAAGCCGGATTACTACGTTTCCTTGCTTTTTGGGTTGCCTCCAGAAGTGGAACTTCTGGCATTCGACTCTACATTGCTATCTACAGCTTTTTCTTCACTCTCGGAGTTGTGGTCGGAAATGACCCTGTCATTCTTTCTGGGGTGCCATTCCTGGCTTATTTTACTCAAGAAATGCAAATAAATCCGCCAACAGCTTGGATCTTTGGCCAGTTTGTCATCGCTAATATTGGTGGGTGACTTGACTGTGCATGATGTCAGCTCTTGACACCTCTTTTAGCGTCTGCTGTTCTCGTCTCATCAAATCCTACGAACCTAGTTTTGAGTGGTGCATTTTCTATCTCTTACTTCACCTATACGGCCAAAATTATTGTCCCTGTAGTGGTGGCAGCAATCATTATTCTTCCGGTCCTACTCTTCTTATTCCGCAAACCTGGATTGATCCCTCGAGAAATTAAACCGATTACACTTTCACCTAGATCGGTGCTCGTGGATCCATTCGGTGGCATTTTCGGTGGAACTCTACTCATCCTTACACTCTGCACATTGGTGGGCACAAGCATTCTCCACCCTCAAGTCTTTCTTGTTACTGTACCACCGGCAGTCATCGTCTTCATTCGAGATGTGCTATATGACTTGCGTCGTTATCGCAAGCAGGTACAAAAAGGGAAAGAGGATCCTACACCCATAACGGAAAAATCTGCCGCCATCCCAGATCCAGCTGCTCTCAAGATAGAGACGCGCAAAGGAATGGATACAGATCTCGAGGTGGCTACTGAGACCGTAGAAGCTCACCCGCCGACTGGGTTATTGTCCCATCAGACCAGTCGCACCCTCATTGTACCACAAGAGGAGTTATATAACACCATGGACCCACAAACCCAAGCCGTTGAAGCTCCTGCAAAGCCCGAGAATGAAACTATGAAAGGGCACCACGAATCCAGTATCCTCCACCGGATGTTCCCAACCGTCATCTCTATACTCAAACTTATGCCCTTCTCTTTGGTCTTATTCTCTCTATCCATGTTTATTCTAGTACAAGGCCTTGGTGTTAATGGATGGGTAGACGTTTGGGCACACTGGTGGGGAGCACGGGTGCATAGAACTGGGGCTGTCGGAACCATCTTTGGTATGGGACTGGTCTCATGCATCCTCTGCAACGTACGTCGCTGTCTTGTAGCTTCTTTCCTTCATCTCACTCACGCCTATCTTTTCAGTTGTTTGGAACAAACATTGGGGCAACGATTCTCCTAGCAAGGGTCCTTCAAACATGGATCCAATCGTCGTCTCCCTCACCACGAATCAAAGATGGAGCGATATTCGCTCTAGCTCTTGGCTCCAACTATGGAGCATTCACATTCTCTTTCCCTGCCTCTCTCGCAGGGCTCTTGTGGCGCCGCCTACTCCTTCAGAAGAACATCAAGGTAACCAT